ATATATATATATTAACAGTATTACAGTATAAAGTTCGAGTGTACGACACACACATGCAGAACAGCAGAAATCAGGTTCACACTTTCAAAATAAAAGCAAAGGTTTAAATTTCCACAGATGTTGTGTTTGGCTTCTCCTGCAGGCTGTTTAATAGTAACACTGAAGTGTAAAATGTAACACTGTAAACCGAAACACAATCGGCAGCTCGACACCGATAAGGAGACGGCTGAAGAGCTGCGGGTTTAAAACAGAGAACATTCGTCTTCAGCCTTTAATGTGAAAACCGCGCCTGCTTTCCTCTCGCTGCAGGGTCGATGTTACTCTGACGGTTTCATCTCGTGGTCGGTAGCACGTTAAAAAAATATTTGAATAAATCAAAGCTGCAATTTAGGGAAAAGTTTGGAGTCAAAATTTTTGAATTTGTTTTTTGTGTTTAACAAACTGAATTTTTATTGTGTTTCATCAGGTGTTATTAAAGTTTAAAGCAGGTACAGTTCAGCACGCTGGGACTGGATCGTGGCTTCAGTTTAACGCTGACTTTGCTGCCGCAGATGTTCACACGGGTGATATGACGTATACGGCTGTTTCCAGGCGTTTCCATGACAGCAGAGCTGAATTCCAGGTTTTCCAGGACTTTCACCAACTTGATATTTATGCGTTTAATCTGTGCAGTGAAAATGGAAGACAGAACCTCCTGGAGAAGCTTTTACTACTATTCACCCGTTCATCTCCGAGATGTACCAAGGTGAAGCTCTGAAGCCTGTTTCCTTTAGTCACAATAATCTGTGCTCTGATTGGTCGGGTAGCTGCAGCGAATCATAATTTCCTCTCTGTGTAAACAACAGGCTTCATCTTCTCATCATAAATAATAGTAACTTCTGTTTTCTTCTACTCTGTTGCACTTGCTGTTAGTCAGTAAAGTAACTTGCAGTAAATCCTCTAGGAAAAAAGCATCATCATCATCGTCGTCACTTCCTGTCCTGTCAGTTTCCCTTTGTTTGTCCAGCAGCAGACTCCGCCTCTCCACCATGTCAGAAAAGCATACTCCGCCTCCTGTTTGGACTGTTTGCTGGACAGAAAGACAAAAATAGACGATGTCAGTGTCAGACGACCCCAGCAGGGAGCCACGTGGCTCCGCCTCCTTCCCCACACAGACTGTTACCTGGATCCGGCGCTGCTGCTGTTGGTCTCATCGTTTCCTTTTCAAGCTGAATCTCTGGCAGGGTGAAGATGGACGTCGCTGAAACAAAAGCAACCACAGCGCCTCTGTGACGTTACCGTAACAACAGGGACCAAATGGGACCAGTAACTTTAAACTTACTGTCAGGAAGTAACTTCACTCTCTTTCCAAGGTTACTGAAGTAAGAGTGGTTCATCGACTCGTCTGCAGAGATCCTCTTCTTCCCCTCAAACTAAAGTTTAAATGAAGTTTAAACTTAAAATTTTTATTTTCCCATCACATAAATGAACACAAAAAACCCCAAAATGTTATTTATTCGTTATGATTCAGAAAGAAAAGGAGACGCACAAACACTGTGAGAGGTTAACTGACCTGTAGGAATTCGGACAACAGCTCCACTCCATCAGTGCTGAGCCTGAACACAAAAACAAACTTCGTTATCTGGTGCAGTGAGCCTTTAAGATTAATGCACGTCTGTGTGCAGCTGCAGATCTGGTGACTTAAACTAAAAGTAAAGAGGAAGGCTCTGTGGAGGCCACTGCAAAGGAATCACACGGATCCTGGTGGGTCAGCAGTAGG